TTCCACTTTCAGCATTAGACAGATCTTCCAGATAGAAAATCAACAAAGAAACATGAGACTTAATCCGCACTACAGACAAAATGGATCTAATAGATATTTACAGAACATTTCATCCAAGACCTGCAGAATACACGTTCTTTTCCTTACCACATGGGTCATTCTCAAGGACAGACCATATGTTAGGTCACAAAACAAGTCTTAAAACATGGAATAATATAAAGCATCTTCTCTGAGCACAATGGAATAAAACTAAAAATTAATAACAAGAAATTTTGGAAACTATACAAATATATGGAAATTAAACAATATGTTTTTGAATAACCACTGGTTCAAAAAGAAATTAAGAAGAAACTTTTAAAATTTCTACAGGATCTAGAAAATGATAATGGAAATATAACTTACCAAAACCTAGGGGATACAGCAAAAGCAGTACTCAGAGGGAAGTTTAGAGCTATAAGTACCTACACTTAAAAAGAGGAAAAACTTCAAATAAACAATCTAACAATGCATCTTAAAGAACTAGAAAAGCAAACCAAACCACACCCAAAATTAGTAGAAAAAATAAATAATAAAGATCAGAGCATAAATAAATAACATTAAAGTGGAAAAAATTACAAAGAATCAATAAAACAAAAAGTTAGGATTTTCTAATGTAAACAAAATTGACAAACCTTTAGCCAGACTAAGAAAAAAGAGAGAAGATCCAAATAAATAAAATGAGAAATGAAAAAAGAGACATTAAAACTGATATTACAGAAATGCAAAGGACCATTAGTGGCTACCAAGAGCAACCATGTGCCAATAAATTGGAAAATCTAGAAGAAATTGACAAATGTCTAAATACATAAAACCTACCAAGACTGAACCGGGAAGAAATCCAAAACCCAAACAAATCAATAACAAGTAATGAGACCAAAGCTGTAATAAAAAAGTCTCCCAGTAGAGAAAAGCCTGCAACCAATGGCTTCACTGCTGAATTCTACCAAACATTTAAAGAATGACTTATACCAATCCTACTCAAACTATTCCAGGAAATAGAGGAAGAAGGAACACTTCCAAACTCTTTCTATGAAGCCAGTATTACCTTGACACACACACAAAAAAAAAAAACAGAAAAAGACACATCAAAAAAAGAAAATGATAGGCCAGTATCCGTAATGAATATTGATGCAAAAATCCTCAGCAAAATACTAGTAAACCAATTCAGCAGTACATCAGAAAGATCATTCATTACGACCAAGTGGGATTTATCACCCATGAATGATTGATATGCAAATCAATCAATGTGATACATCATATTAACAGAATAAAGAATAAAAAACATATGATAATTTCAATTGATGCTGAAAAAGTATTTGATAAAATTTAACATCCCTTTATGATCAAACTGAGGCTAGAAGGAACATACCTCAATGTAATAAAAGTCATATACAATAGACCCACAGCTAGTATCATACTGAATGGGGAAAGACTGAAAGCCTTTCCTCTAAGATGTGGAACATGATGAGGGTGCCCACTGTCACCATTGTTATTCACCATAGTATTGGAAGTTCTAGCTAGAGCGATCAGACAAGAAAAAGATATAAAGGGTATCCAAATTGAAAAGGAAGAAGTCAAATTATCCTTGTTTGAGGATGATATGATCTTATATTTAGAAAAAAACTAAAGACTCCACAAGAAAATTAGTAGAACTGATAAACAAATTCAGTAAAGTTGCAGGATACAAAAATCAACATACAAAAATCAGTAGCATTCCAATATGTCAACAGTGAACAATGTGAAAAAAATTAAAGTAATCCCATTTACAATAGCCACATATTAAGATCTCTATAATGAAAACTATAAAACACTGATGAAGGAAATTGAAGAGGACACCAAACAATGAAAAATATTCCATATTCGTGGATTAGAAGACTCAATATCATTAAAGTATCCATACTGCCCAAAGCAATCTACAGATTCAATGCAATCCCTATCAAAATACCAATGACATTCTTCACAGAAATAGAAAAAATAATCCTAAAATTTATATGGAACCACAAAAGACCCAGAGTAGCCAACGCAATCCTAAGCAAAAAGAACAAACCTGGAGGAATCACATTACCTGACTTCAAATTATGTTATGGAGCTATAGTAACCAAAACAGCATGGTACTGGCATGAAAACAGACACACAGATCAATGGAACACAATAGAAAATGCAGAAACAAATCCACACACCTACAGTGAACTCATTTTCAACAAAAGTGCCAAGAACATACACTAAGGAAAAGACAGTCTCTTCAATAAGTGGTACTGGGAAAACTGGATATCCATATACAAAAGAATGAAAATAGATCCCTATCTCTTGCCATATACAAAAATCAAATTAAAATAAATCAAAGACTTAAATCTAAGACCTCAAGCTATAAAATGACTACAGAAAACATTGGGGGAAATCTCCAGGACGTTGGTCTAGGCAAAAACTTTTTGAGAAATACCCCACAAGCACAGGTAACCAAAGCAAAAACAGACAAATGGGATCACATCAAGTTAAAAGGCTTCTGTATAGCAAAGGAAACAATCAACAAAGTGAAGAAACAACCCACAGAATGGGAGAAAATATTTGCAAACGACCCCTCTGACAAGGGATTAATATCCAGAATATACAAGGAGCCCAAACAACTCTACAGAAAAAAAAAAAACTAATAATCTGATCAAAAAATGGGCAACAGATTTGAATAGACATTTCCCAAAAGAAGACATACAAATGGAAAACAGGCATATGTAAAGGTGCTCAACATCATAGATCATCAGAGAAATGCAAATCAAAACTACAATGAGATATCATCTCACTCCAGTTAAAATGGCTTATATCCAAAAGACATGCTAATACAAATGCTGGTGAGGACGTGGAGAAAAGGGAACCATTGTACACTCTTGTTGGGAATGTAAATTAGCATAACCACTATCGAAAACAATTTGGAAGTGCCTCAAAAAATTAAAAATTGAGCTATCATATGATCCAGCAATACCACTTCTAGGTATATACCCAAAAGAAAAGAAATCAGTATATCAAAGAGATATCTGCACTCCTATGTTTGTTGCAGCACTGCTTATATTAGCTAAGATTTGGAAGCAACCTACATGTCTATCAATAGATGAACGGATAAAGAAAATGTGGTACATATACACAAGGAAGTACTATTCAGCCATAAAAAGAATGAGATAATCATTTGCAACAACATGAATGGAACTAGAGATCATTATGCTAAGTGAAACAAGCCAGGCACAGAAAAATAAGCATTGCATGGTCTCACTTACTTGTGGGATCTAAAAATCAAAACTACTGAATTCAGGGACATAGAGAGTAGAAGGATAGTTACATAGGCTGGGAAGTGTAGTGGGAGACTGGGAGTGGGGAGGTGAAGATGGCTAATGAGTACAAAAAGAAAATAGAAAGAATGACTAAGACCTTCTATGTGATAGCACAACAGGATGACTACAGTCAATAATAACTTAATTGTATATTTTTAAATAAAGAGTGTAATTGGATTGTTCATAAGTCATTGAGTAAGTCAAAGGATAAATGCTTGAGGAAATGGATACTCCATTCTCCATGATGTGCTTATTGCATGCCTCTGTCAAAACTTCTCATGTACTCCATACATATATGCACCTACCGTGTACCCACACAAATTAAATAATAATAAAATTTTTAAAAGAAAGGATTTAAATTCAATATTCACCAAGAAATAATACATGCTTTTGATTTTTTAAAGGGAAAGTATCAGCGAAATGAATGTGATAATGGATTACACTTAATGGAAACAGAACCTCTGAGCCTCAGTTTTTTCATCTGTGAAATGAACTTGATTTAATCCCCATCCATTATCAAATTTGTTTATCAAATATTTCCATTTAAGAACTTTAAGGAGCAAAGGAAAATGAATATTTCCTGGGAGAGCCAGAAGTACTGTCCATCCAATCTATTTTCTTCTTTTGGGAGGAGGGTACGTATGATAATTTAGTATGTTCATATAATTTGTACAGAAGAAACCAGTGTACCTGGGATATCTATCATCTAAAATATTTGTCTTTTCTTTGTGCTAGAAACATTCCTAACCTATTTTCTGAAATTACTTGTATTTCATTTCCCACAATTTTGGGGATTTCATAATTCTAGTCCATAAAATGTCAGTGTTTACCTTAAAGAAACAAAACAAAACGAATGTAAACTCCTGGATCTGTTTTAGAACAAAGATACCATCAAATCCTAAAGAGCAACTAAATTCTATTCTTTGGCAAGTGAATTTTAACAACTGCACATCATGTCAATCCCTTCTAAAACAAGGATACCTTAAAAACAAACCATGATCTAAGGATAGAATTAGGAGGTTCAGAACTCACAAGAAAACAAAAATGTCTTGGGCTCACTAAGGGCATAGAAATGGTCACTTGCCCTTTCACCATTACACATCAGCCCCAACCAGATTCCCAGTGCTTGTCCAGAAAATAAAGGACCCCCAACCTTGGGGAAAAGCTCAGAGTTGGGGACCAAGAGAACCAGGGACCAAGTGTTCTCCTCTGCCCTCTTCCCCTACATTGCAAAGCTTCAGACAGTTTCATTTGCCAAACATAGCATCTCACTTGCCTTCCCCACATGGCTCCCCTACCCACCACCACCATCACCACTACCACTGCTCCCCTCCCACCGCCCACCACCACAACCAGTTCGGAAGGCTTATTTTTAAACTTGCAATAGCAACGCCAAATGCAAAGAAACTCATTACATTTGATTTTCTTTCAAGTCACCTCACAAATATGCTTTTTAAAGCATAAGGAAAACACTCAGAGACTTAAATTGCTGCTTAAAACTGTCCTCCGTGATAGCTTTCTATTTTGCCGCAAACACATGAAAAATAGGTCCGAGTGCTCTGAGTGCTTTTACTCAATAGTCATCGTATGAATTTCAATTGTAAAAAAAGTTCACCAAGTGTTTAAAAATGTGTTTTAATTATATTTTCATGAATTCCAAGAAGAACATCATTGCAGTTAATGTTACAAAAAAAAAAACAAAGAGGGACATCTGAACATGCAATAAAAAAGTGAATTCACAGTGAAAATAATGCATGTCAGTACTAAAATAGAGTTGCTTGGTTCCCTGAAGGAAAAAGGTTTCTTCTAATTATCTATTCACTCGGATTTTATTATGAGAAAATATTCTTTGAAAGCTTTGGGGAAGTTTTCAGTTTGTGCTACTATTATCATTAGCGTCTGATGGAAGTCCCTCATTCTGAAAGCCATTGTTCGCAGTCTGTCATTCAATCAGAAAATTCAAAAGTACAAGTAGTTTGGCAACTGGCTTCTTGTTACATACAAAGCCATTAGCAAAAATATGTAACAAAATTTATGTAAAACAAACAATTTTGTCCTTATATACAAAAGACGGCCTTCTTCCTCACACCCTCAGAGCCTATTCCAAAAAGTGGGGAGGGCATGGGGAGCAGCTATCCATCCCCTTTAAACTCTCTTTATGGGTGGGATAAGAACATCCTAAAAGGCAAGGTAACTATTTTAAAGTTTTTAAAACTGAGTTATAAAAATGCATCTGGGCTTCTCAACAAAGAGGGAAACATAGGAAAAATGATAACAGATTAAAGTAAGGAATTCATCCCTTTGTCATTTGCAAAGTCTCTTAATCAACTCAACAGTTAGAGAGTAAAAATGACTACATTTGTGACGCAATCTGAGGACACAGTAAAGGACATCTTGGTGAAACACACACACATTATAACCCGAGCTGCTGAGGAGTTTCACATCTAGGGCATGCACATATTTTATACTGATAATAGTTTACAACACCTCAAGGGAGAAAGATCATAATAGGTACATGGGAAACATCACTAAATCTATATACAAACGCATTAACAGGGAGAACACATGAAGTCAAAAGGAGACCCAAATACAAGTTTAAAAATACATTTGAAAATCATTCCAAAGCCAAGGAACTTATTTACTGAAAACTCCGACATTCTATGGAATACCTTGTAAACCTTAAGAATGCAGTTTTATATAATTCACAGTCTCAAAAGAAAATAAATTTCTGGTTTATCATCACTGCTTGGCTCAGTCTGCAAAACAGAATTATCTGAACACAACTGGTCAACATGGCCATAGTGAAGAGCTGTGCATGCCCCCTCCGGGATGCCCCGGCCTTCAAGGCCACCCCCTTTCGTGTTCTTCAGGTAGCCTGCGATGTAGGAGCCGGTGGAGTGGCGATTCACTGCAGGGGTGGGTGCTGAGGGTTTGTTTCTAAGAACCACGCCTGCCCCATTGCTGGGGTTTGGAACTTTCTGCTTGTTGGCTTCCTGTTTCTCCTTGGCACGGCTAGCAATATTGCGCACTCTGCTCTGACTTCTGGATGACAACTTCCTGACTAGTGCCCGGGGGAGCTGATTGGCATCCTGCTTTGAATATATTACTTGGCAGCTGTCTTCCTGGTCAAAGGACACAAGCTTCCGAAGCTGCTCGGTCAGGGCATCTATAGGCTCTAATGACTTTTTCTTCACAGTCACACCCTTCTTGTCTTTAATGCCAGTTGTAATAAAACTCTTACTAATACACTGGTACTTGCTCTCAAAATTGCAGGCAATGTCCTCTGATGTTAAGTCCCCCAGACTTTTGGATTTGCAAGGACTGGGCAATTTCAGAGCAGGCAAAGGAAGATGTGCCAACTGCTTGGGTACAGGAACATGCATATCTTGAGCACTAGACTGCTGGGGCACACAGGTCTGGAACATTTTTGCATCTGAATCTGAGAAATGGTTATGCACAAAGCCAGCACCCTGATAGGCTAGATAAGAAATACTTTGAGTTTTGACATCCTGAATACTGTTGAATATTTCAGGGACAGAAGGGTGGTAGGTCTCTTTACAGTAGCCATTTCTCAAACCTCTTTGAAAGTGTTCTACCACACCCTGACTATACTTGAGTTTTAAAGGAGAAGCAAGTTGACTTGTGCTCTCTCTCCTATGTTCACAGGTTGTTAGAGAAAGATTTTCTGATTCTCCATCAATTTCCACAAGGCTGCTCTCCCCAGAATTGAAACAGAGAGTGGGATCAGCTATTACATCCTCCAGGGTCAAATCAGGGGAAGAGGCAGGGCTGCAGCTCTTCAGTGTTTCCCAGTCTTCTCCCTTGGTAGGACTTTTTGGTAACCAGTCATGAGAAGTATTAGGGGACCCAGGAAGGTTGCTTTCTACAGCCCCTGTCTTGGCCTTACTAGAAAGGTCATCATCTGGTTTGGTTTTAGAGATGGGAGTGCAGGTAGTTTCATAAACTGTGTTCATTGCATGTTTGGTGGTCTCAGGACTCGAGAGTGCTATCAGCTCCGGAGATGAGCACAGGAAGGAAGACTTGGATTTTCCCTTGGAAAAACCATGCTTGATGGGCATTTTTAGGCCCACGCTAGGCAAGGGACAATGGCCTGACATCACACTGGTATTATGAAGATGAGAAACAACTGTGAGAGCCTGATCATTGGTCTCATCAAACTGGCCAATCAGGGCTGAGATGGAACTGCCTGGCTCATTCTCATTTGTTAAAGTGACATTGTCAATAAGATGGGAAATTTCACTCTCCTGCAGAATTGCAGTTGAATGTAGGTCAGGTATGTCAGAACACAGCATGGAGACATCTGACAAAGAAAAGGATGTTGCAGCTCGGCCCTTACCCCTATTACCTTCCAAGTCCTTAATTTCTAGGTTGCTATGAGAAAGGATACTTCCTGACAAGATGCTTTTCCCTTCTACAAAGCCCTCAGCATTCCCCTTTTCCTTGATTTTCACACCATGTAGATCTTGTGTGGGGTTAACTACAGGATCAGGAGCCAAATGCTGCCTTGGGGAGAGAGACTTGCTGGGACAGGGGTTTTCCTGGCAATGACTTGTGGCATTTGATGTGGTTCTCCCACCCCTAGGACTTGACACGCCCAGCTGTTCTCCTGTGACTGACATGTGGGCAGTAGATACAATGGCGTCCCCTTGGATGATATCTTTGTGGAGAAGAGCACTGGAGGAGGACGATAACTTTTTGTTGAAATTTAGAAAATGTGGATCTTTTATACTTGCTTTCCCTTTTCTTCTGCCATCTTTATCTTCTGCTGAAGGAAACAAACAATATTTTAGGTGACATGTATCACTTTATGTACGACCTGCAAACACTCATGTTGTCTTCAGACAGACAAATGGAGAATGTAAATCCGTTACACTGTGACAGAATATAATTATGGATTGCATAGGTTTGCAACAAAGTGTCTGTGTGATGAATAAATGGTAAAATATATTTATAGGAATTTCACTGAAGCTTCCCTTTGAATATCTATTACATCTGCTAAGGATGTAATATTCATTGTCAAAAAAATGTCAATGAGTTACCATACTTTTACAGTGAGGATTACCTTAAGTTGTTTCCTATTCAGATTTGTACTACACAGAAGCATGGCAATAGAAACAGAACAAGACAGCTCTGTTAAACAAAGCATTGTGGTACCTGTAAGCAAGATACTATAAGCTTTCAAAGTTATACATGTATTAGTTAAAACAAAAAAAGAAGAAAAGAAGAAAAACATAATAATGTCATTTTCAAAACATTTTGGGAGCATATTTAATTTAATCAATTTCTAAAATAATTGGAAGGTGTAATAAATGCATTAAAATATCAATATCCATTGAGTTAAAATGTAAAGATAAAAATTGGTCATCAATTCCATGTCATTGCTAATATCTATTTTTTGTTAATGATATATTTCTTTTTAATACACAAATTTCATATTGCATCCTTCCCTAAAAGTGGCAGTAAGTTGTCAGACATAGTAAAAGAAAACCATAAAAACACAATTCACAGTAATTTGGGATATCCCAGCATGGTTAGTATACTGCTAGGAGAGTATGAGGTATTCAATTCTTGATCAGGTTATTTTAATAATATAATGCTTCCAGAGTCATGATATATAAGAAAAAAGAACTTGTTCAACTTAATATTAAATAGTTTCAAAACTAAAAATATTCATCATAAAAATTTTGAAAACCTCAAAAAATTATAAAGAAAAAATTAAATACCATATGATGTTACCACCGAGACAGCCACTGTTATATTTTGCAGAGGAACAGAATAATATATAGAATTTTGTAGTCTGGGGGCCCGGGCGCGGTGGCTCAAGCCTGTAATCCCAGCACTTTGGGAGGCCAAAACGGGTGGATAATGAGGTCAGGAGATCGAGACCATCGTGGCTAACACGGTGAAACCCCGTCTCTACTAAAAAATACAAAAAACTAGCCGGGCGAGGTGGCGGGCGTCTGTAGTCCCAGCTACTGGGGAGGCTGAGGCAGGAGAACAGCGTGAACCCGGGAGGCGGAGCTTGCAGTGAGCTGAGGTCCTGCCACTGCACTCTAGCCTGGGCGACAGAGCGAGACTCCGTCTCAAAAAAAAAAAAAAGAATTTTGTAGTCTGCTTTTTCTGTACTTAATGCAATATAACTATGTATCGTTTTATATATACCAAAAGTTTAATACACATGACTAATTTATATAACTGTTTTTTAAAAGTAGAAAAGAAATATTACCTCAAAATTGCTTTCTAACTCATCTTAATGGTATTAACATCTTAACTGTGGCATTAACAGGATAGAACCAATTTCTATTGAATATAGCTTTATTTTTCCCAAAGATGGGATTTTAAAATACATTTTAAGGCATATATTTTATCTCTTCTCTGACACTGCTCTTAGCAAAATTTCAAGCTTTTAAATGTTCTTTTTCTCCTTCAAATAAACCATTCAAGAATATCTTATAACAAAAAATCAATACAAGTAAAATGGTGTTTGTGGGAAAAGAGAGCACTGAAATTAGACCATTTGATAAAAGATAAAAGAACAATTTTGCTAAAGGAAATCAGTACCACATTTTAGTTGTCTGAGATGATTCTGATTTAATTCAAACATATTTGTTGCATAGATATCAAATGCACACAGTTTTGGCACTTAAATTTACCCCCAGATAGGATGGGATGGGAGTCACCGACATCAGTCAAAAGCTCTCTGGCACACTGCAAGGCGGTCTTTACTCTGTACTGAGCTCCTGATATGAGCCAATGATACACTCAAATTAAGGAAAAAGACAGGCAGCACCTGGTCCCTATGCTTGTGGAGCCCACGACCGCGCTAAAGCTGCAGGCACACGTCCATCCCTGCCAGCATCCAAGGATCAGGGAAGTGAGGCCATAGGAAAACACTGCCTGAGCCACCTCTTAAGAAAAAAAGATTTGCTTGTTTTTGAAAAACGTGGCTTGTTTTTAACAACTGGTTTTCTTTCTCCATAAACATTTCCAATCACGGAAATGTGTTATATGTAAGAAAAGTAATACAACCATATTCCCCCTCAGAACAATCAGTAAATATGGCATTCATTTGGAAAACCAATATTTCGAATCCTATTTTGCAGGTTTCATTCTTCCTCTCTGTGCCATCACACCTAATGGCTCCCCCTACTCTCATTGTCAATTTCAGATGTTGATATTATAAAGCTCTTGGTGAGCAGGAAATGGATCTACCTGGCCCCCAACATTTAAAATCTTCTCGTCTAGAAGATCACATTAAAAAGTATTTATTTTTCAGTATATTTTACTTTGACTACAGAATGTCAACCTCTTCAGAATGGTAAACAGGGACTGAAAAGCAGCCTAGAAGGGTTTATTCTTAGAGAAACTTAAAGTATCTTACCCAGAGAGTTTTCTTTTCCTTCATTGTCTTTTGCTGTTTCAGATACAGGCAGCGACAAAGCTCCCAGAAGGTTTCTGTCAACAGGCATAGAGACAGGACGTGCTTGCAAACTGCGTGTGGTCCTCCTCAGCACGCCATCTTGGTCTCTTGTGGCCTCGGACACTGAATCCTTTATCTCCACCATTTCTTGGAAGCCCATTTTGCTCTTTTTCCTGCCTTTGGCGGGGGCGCTGGCTGTGCGTCGCAGAATTCTATCTCCAATCGATCGTTTCCGTACATAATGGGAATTGTTTTCTGCAGAACTGTGCCTAGGATTCTTATTGAACAGTCCCTTCAGACCCTGGAGTTGTCTATTCTGAAGACACAAAACGACCAACCACAAGTTAAGCAAATGCCATCACGTCAACAACTTGCCTTTAAAATAACAGCTCCATGAAAAATGAATATAAACCGAAATTGTACAGCCACTGAAATATATTCACACCAAGAAAGCAGCAGCTCACAGCATGTTTGCACAACTTCATGCACATCTTATCAACCTTACTTTGCAAGGACTTCAGCCTTCCATTCTTACATCAAGCTCTCCCAGAAGTTTCCTACCCAGAGATGACAAAATGGTAGGAAAAGTCTCCACAGCTCATAGACTGCTACGAACTTCAGGCGCCTTAAAGCAACAGATACATGTTTCAAAGTGGTAAGCAGGAAAATGGCGTGATATGAAAAAGCATGCTGCCATAACCACTTAAAAGAAATATGCCAGCCAGAACAAAGCACCATGCTGAGAAACTACCTTTGTAGCTCCTAGAAAGTGCAATATAGTATAACTGGGATTGAGTATTAAAGGGCTCCACTGTGAAGGAAAAAAACAAAACACAACAAAACACAATTGGGGCTCATTGAAGAGGGTGTCACAAGTAAACACAAAAGAAAAAATGCATACATGTCTATAAACCCTTTCTGTTAGTTTCAGGGATTTTCAGTCTTATGCTCATTCATTGTTCAACCAATACCACTACACTGTGATGTGTGGATCCCAACCCGAACACATCTTGAAAGGAATAAAGAGTATGACTCATAAATGGACATTTATTTAGGAGAGAAGATGGGCATGATATAGAACACTTTCAGATTTTAATTTATTTCTGGCTCAAGTTTTAAACAAATTCAGAATTTAATTGTTTCCCTCAATGTGATAAACGCTAGAGATAATCTGTAGTTAACCTGGGATTCCTAGAATTCAAGAATCATTTTTGAATTATTTACATTTGTGTCTACTTAGATGAGAGGCAAGATCCCAACAAGCAGCACAAACAGAAATCCAGGACTAAACACAGAAAGTTATGGTATAAAACTTCACCAGTCTTAGAAATTAGGATCCTTACCCTCACCTCCACACCCTTGCTGACTGATATGAAAATAAACATTACACTCCCTAATTCAGGCTGAAATGGTTCATTCCTTATTAGCTGGATTGTAGTCATAATCACATTAATATTAGCCAATATTTCTGAGCATTTACTGTGTACCAGACAGCTTTCTAAGAAATATATTTATTTATGAGGCAGGTATTATTTTTATCCCACATTCACAGATGAGGAAGCTTCCAGCTATACAGATTTTCTGGTAAAGAGCACGGGACATTTCTAGGCCCCATTCAATGCTTTAACAGTCCCTCCAAATCCCATGTGGTCCTGAAAATTCATACCGGTAACCAAGTCCCCAATTACTTGACATGACCAGAGGACAACCTACTGGTTTGTAAACCTCAAATGAGTTCTATAACCATGACAACAGCATCAGGAAAGAACTAGAATGCATTTTTGTGGTCTCCTTCTTTTCAGTCCTGTAGGTAGCTTTAAAATCCATTCACAATTTTTAGATTTTCAGTTAAAAACATTGGTACCAAATGAATGTAGCCTGCCTAGAAGTGGCTGGGATCACAGACCAGTTAGTACAGGTAATTCATCAACCATCTGAGACACTACGTTTCCCACTGAGGTCAGTTGAGTCTTTTTAAGGATTAAAATAAAATTCAACATTTAACTGTATCTTCATTGTTTTAGCCAAACACATTACTGCCTGAGAGAATAATAGTTTTCTCAATTCTATTAAGCCCAGAGAGGGCCCCTGTGTAGAAGGAATGAGTACACACCTTAAACAGTGAAAAGAGTACAGGTGGATCAGGACATGACTGGAATAGCAGACTGGGCTTGCTGGGCTTCCTTAGTTTTTGGTTCAAGCACAGTTTGTCAAAATTTACATTCCTATTATGCAATTAATCAGTAGCATTGTTAAGGACCATATTAATGTATATGACTTTAAATCCTATGATCTTTCTCACCTTTCCATAGATTTCATTGATGGTTATGTGTACAAATATGGATGCTTCTGTCAGTCCTTCCAAATAGACATGCCGGTAGCCTAATAAAAGGAAAGACAGTCATTTCTTTTTAGTTGAACTTGCATTTGACTTTCTCATGGGTGCAACAAAATTAAGTATCTGACTTGACTATAGCTCTTTTTTTTTTTTTCTGAGATAGAGTCTTGTTCTGTTGCCCAGGCTGGAAGGCAGTGGCATGATCTCGGCTCACCGGAAACTCTGCCTCCTGGGTTCAAGTGATTCTCCTGCCTCGGCTTCCCGAATAGCTGGGATTACAGGCATGGGCCACCACACCTGGCTAATTTTGTATTTTTAGTAGAGACAGGGTTTCTCCATGTTGGTCAGGCTGGTCTCAAACTCCTGACCTCGGGTGATCCTCCCACCTTGGCCTCCCAGATTGCTGGCATTACAGGTGTGAGCCACTGCACCCAGCCCAACTATAATCCTTTACATTTTACAAAGCTTGTTAAAAGTCACGTTTATTATATGACATATATTTTATATATCACATATGCTATTATGTAAGTAACATATGATGTATTATATCTTCCAAAGAAAAAGGAATGGTCAGTCTAGAGAGAAAAGGCCAGCTCATACCTACCAGGCACTAAGCTGCTGAAGGTCACGGTTCTTTGCCCAACAAAGTCTCGTCCAATGGGATCATGATCCCACACGAGGAACCGAACCAAAGCTATTTCTGGCATGTGTACTGTAAATGTCAGCGTTTCTTCCCACACAGGGTTAAATCCTCAGAGAAATAGGAAAAGAAAAATCAGAAAAGCAAAGGACTTGGCTGAAAATGAGTTGGCGGCAACATCTGCAAAGCAGACGGTGAAAATTGCTTGCAGTGGTTATTAAACTCATGAAGACAACTAAGCCACTCTGGGATACCTTACTGGAATAAAGCCTCGAAATTTACCCCCTTGCTAGAAAATAATTGGTAAGAACATTGCCTGTAAATTATCACGTCAAATCTATTAATCTTTGATGCCTAACTGTATTGTAGAGAAGCTCGTTAGTATTCAGAATGCTTCAGTAAGTTAAAAAATTATCTATAGTAGTGATCTAAGAATAATGTTTTAGCCGAAACAATAAAGAATGATATCCTCTCCCAACAGAATTATGCTTCTCATGCACCAAAGAGTCCGCTGCTGTAATAACCACCAACAAACATTTTATAAGGTGCTTTTGCAGGTTTCAACTCCTATTGTACATACATCATCTTAGTTCTTATAGGAATCCTCTAAGTTTTTTTAGAGGATTTTTAGAGTTTTTAGAGTAGAGCAGGGTTTTGGTTTTTGTTTCTAATTAGAAACTATGTATTACTGACTTTCAAAAATATATTACTTTCAAAAACTATACAAGTAACACTCATCTTTTAAAGTAGGGAGTATCAATATTTATAAGACATTTTGTATTTGAGAAAATTGATGTTCATAGACGATAATGTGCCCAAAGCCACACAAGGCCTTATAGTTAATGACAGGGTCAAATTAGACTGTGCACTATTGATTCCCAGTAGCTTCTCATGAAGCAAGACCTTACTGCATGAATGATGGCATATTTTCACAGCTACTGAAAAATACGTTAAAAAGGTATATTTCACCTCAAATACTAAAATGCAAAAATACATTTACTTGGCAAAATTCTCTCCAATAAAATAACTATAAAAGCTGTTAAAAATTCAAGTACTCCGTAAGTTTCTGTTTTTTTTCCTTTCTAAAAAATGAAAATAAGTTTTTAAAAATGTATGCATTTAGAAGGTATCAGCCATTGAACCCTATTAAAAAGCCTCAAGCTAATGAAATAATTATAAGCTGAAAAATCACTGAGATACCCCTCTTGAATAAGAGAAGATCTTTCTGTTGACTTAGTGATGACCTCTCAATTATTTCTGAGACTAAAAAAAGAAAGAGTTATCTATTGAACATTGGTGGGAAAACGCAATTTAAGAAGGTTTCTTTCTGTGTACGTGTTTTTCCTAAGTTACAGGTTTGTCCTACTCTGGAACTGTAGTGTTCTTTCAGGGACTCCCTGTGAACCCCTAATTTCTCAAATTAATAATTGTGCTTCAAATGTATTTTATAGTATTAATCACAAGACATTGAGAAAAGTGGGTATGCAATAATGTTTGTGAAATGTATGAACAAACAAATTTTAAAAGATTACAAATAAAAAGACATGAGGCTTGGGTAAAGAAAACTTTCTTTATATTATGGCCAAAATATAAGAAGAATGCTACCCCTCCAATTGTATAAAAATACTCAAGAAGTAAACTCGCCAGACTACATTGGGCTTGCCTTTAGAGTTTTACATGCTCCAGAAAAAGTGAGAAATTATCAAGGCACATAGGCTTCACAAATGAGAGCTTTGAGAAAACTCATGTCATAAAAATACAATATAAACATATAATGGACGCATTTCCTCAGTGAATTTTTAACCCAGTTCTTTAAAATATCATTTACTCTTCTTACTAGAAGAAAAAAATTCCTTTAAAAGCAAAAGTCTGGAAAGCCTAGATTACAACACCATCAAAATAAACCATGCATCAATCCCACAGTTACTTAGTTCCATGTGTTGAAAAGTTTTTAACATAAACTCAGATGGGAGTTATGGATTTTAGAGATTTCTTGCTCGTCTACATAGACACTTTTTTTAGTGTAAATTCTATTTCTAGACCATCTTCATTAAAAAGTGAACACAGATTATGATCTTACCATTGTCATCTACCACACGGGTTTGATCTTTACAACAATCTACCGGCAATCCAATAATTTCAACTTCAACAAAAGGGTCAATGATCTATTAAATAAAGAGAAAGTACTATTACAAATAATATATTTCTATACATATGTTAATTAATCTGAGAATATTGGCCAAAATGTCTACATTTTGACAGCAACTGATTTTACAAGGTGCTTAGCAAGAAAAAGAAATGGTTCTAGGTGTGGTAGATTCAGATATATGAGACAAATATAAAAAATATTAAATTGCTGTTTGCTAGTATTTATTAATGCCAACAAACTTTACCCAGTGAACCTACAACTTTAGTTCAGGGCAAATACCTGACAGAACTGAGATGTTTTGCCCATGCACAAATGCTCAGAGCAGCTGTATTTGTAATAGTCAAACACTGGAAACAACCTAAATTTCTATCATGAATAGGATGGATAATTGTGGAATATGCGTTTTTTGTTTTTTGTTATTTTGTTTTTTGAGATAGGGTCTTACTCTGTAGCCCAGGCTGGAATGCAGTGGCATGATCTTAGCTCACAGCATCCTCCACCCTCACAGGTTTAAGCCATCCTCCCACCTCAGTCTCCCGAGTAGCTGGGACTACAGGCTTGCGCACCACACCTGGCTAATTTTTATATTTTTTAATTTTGTAATTTTGTTAATTTTGTAATTTTGCTAATTTTGTATTTTTGTATTTTTGTAGAAATGGGGTTTTGCCATGTTGTCCAGGCTGGTCTCAATCAAACTCTTGAGCTCAAGCAATCCACCCACCTCAGCCTCTCAAAGTGCTGGGATTACAAATGTGAGCCACCATGCCTGGTCAGAAATATGTGTTCAATGAATACTCTCAACAATGAGAAAAGAATAAAGTTCTGCTATATAACATAATGTTGAGCAAGCCAGACATAAAAGAGTACCTACTCTAAGAGTCCATTTATATAAAGTTTAGGAATAGACAAAATTTCTGTTGTGATAGGGGTTGGTGTTGGCATGAGAGGCAGCGGGGAGGGTAGATATTGACTGGGAAGGTGGACAGGAGCCTTCTAGGGATTCTGGATATGCTCTGTCTTGATCTGGGTGGCATAATAATTAATCAAGCTATCCATGTTTGATTCATATACTTTAATTCCCATCCTCTCCTCTAGGGGGAAGGATCTTGTCTTGTTGGTCATCTGTAGACTCTCCTTCGTGGTGCCAGTTCTGGGTAATGAACAATGAAGGAATAAAACCCAAAGAATCTAGAAAGAGCTGATGTAAGAAAGTCTAAAGCAGAGAAAGTAGAGTTCTTAAATAAAGCATTTATGGCAGTACCAAATTGTACAGCTCTATAATTTCCTTCCTTAAGATCCCAAAATGATGGTTTAACAGGCAGGAGCAACAAAGAGCCTGAAATAATGGATCAGCTCTGAGAGGAAGGGCAAGAGCATAGGAGAAGCTGCTATGTAGGGAGAAAGCAAGAGCCAAGAAGGTCTAATGGAAACAATGGGCTAAAAGCTCTGGAAAGAAAAAAGACTGTGACCACAGATGAAGATATTTTAAAATCACACTACACAGGTACAGCAAATGATAATAAGAATCAGCACACGGCCAAGGAGCAAGTGGCTGATGGGCAGCAAAGAGGAGCACTGCAGGAGGAGAGGTATGTGGAGGTTATATTATTAATGGAACATTGCCTTCCCAGGTTAAGATATACTCTTGGGCAGTGTTCCATTAATAATATAATTGTCTTTGCACTCCAGTTTTAGCAATGCCAGTGTCAACCTTAAATTGTGAATTCAATTGTGTGCACTCATGCCTTCAAAATAGATGATGAACAGCAGTACAACAAGAACTGTGTGACTTACCAATAAATCAGTTAATGTCTGATAAGCTGAGGTCAGTGCTCAGTTACGAACACACATACATCTCTGAAGACATTTCAGATAAAATGTAAATGAACTAAGATAATCACATAATTAAACACTTAGACATGTAGTCATAGGCAACTTACCTCGCCTCGATCTCCAAACATGGAGTCTGGAGGTTTGGGGAGTTGCTGTCCACTGATAACTTTTAGGATGAGCTGCTTTTTGGGGTTGGCAGGAAGAGGGTCACCAGAGAAAGGGTTGAAAGTACCTAGGCCAAGTAAAGTATAAGTTGGTAACATAAGAAGAAACACGCACACATGCACAGCTTAAGCTTGTAAACAAACAAACAAACAGACAAAAACAAATGCTGAATTACATGATCACATAACTATCAGTGTGGCATAGCTGTGGTTTTCATTAGAATCCATGTTCCCAAAGGCCAGTGGAGTGGGCCAACTTAAAGCAAGTGTTTGCAATGCAATGATCAACTGTGGAATGGAGGAAAAGAAGCATTTTATTTGAACACCAACAGTGTGGAAAGAACAATTATGTCAGATTCAAATAATTTTCTAACCTAAACTATCTCAGGTATGAGTGAATATAACAAACAGAAAGAAGACCTGAAATTAAGTAAACAGCAGAGCAAGAAAATGTGCAAAGCATAAAATCTTGAAGATAATCCTGTCAACAATGTTTTTATCTGAATTGTTGTAAATGTAATTTGGAAATTTTAAAAATAATTTTAATGAGCAGAACCAAAAGAAAGTGTTGTTTGATCTAACACAACATTATCATTTTTTTGTTTTGTTTTGTTTTGTTTTGTTTTGTTTTTTTGAGATGGAGTCTCACTCTGTCACCCAGGTTGGAGTGCAGTGGTGTGATCTTGGCTCACTGCAACCTCTGCCTCCCGGGTTCCAGCGATTCTCCTACCTCAACTTCCCGAGTAGCTGGGACTACAGGCATGCACCACTATGCCCAGCTAATTCTGTATTTTCAGTAGAGACAGGGTTTTACCATGTCGGCCAGTCTGGTCTTGAACTCCTGACCTCAGGTGATCCGCCTGCCTTGACCTCACAAAGTGCTGGAATTACAGGCATCAGCCCCCACAACCAGCCTATCCTTTCTCTTTTGTTAGCACTGTTTTGTAATTGGACTACACTGAGTAAAAGAGCTTGATAAAATTGTTTCAGGTGGAATTGAAGCTTGCCAGCAGGTCACAGACTCACATTACCTAAGATAGTTTCTGAAAGATAGGGCTCAGACCTTAAAAAGCAGTCCAGCTTACACGTGGCACTGGATTTCAAATGATAACCCAATGCCATCCATGTCCCTCTTTCACACACAACCTCTCAAGATAACATTCTAAACATCATGGCTAACCAAATACTAAGTAGTGGTAACAAGAATTCTAATCCACATTCAAACACCTTAACCTATCTTTTTGGAAAAAAAAAAATGTTGAAAAACTCTAGGGTATCACACTTTCTAAACAGCTTCCTTAATAAAGGTTGCCTGTATTAGACTATGAAATTAACATACACCTGCATTTATGACTGTGAAATTAATACACACCTTTGCACATTTGCTGGGGTTTGAGGACGTAGCCACAGTTGCCATTTGTCTTGAATTTGGCTCGGTTTAACTGCATCATTCGTCCTTCGGATTGATAATTCAGTGCCACTGTGCAAGTTAAAAGTTGGAGAGAATTAGGCAAGATGGTGGCATAGTCAGAACGTACAGAGAACCGCTCCTTCCCAAGGAGTACGCACCTAGCTGGCAGCCTGCGTTCCAGTAGGGGAGCGGGTTGAAGTTACTGGAATCAATGCGGTAGGCAGAGGGGTAAATCCTCGTGAGTTGCTTTTGATTATAAATCATGAACTGCTCTGATTTTTGCTGAACAACCTGATGTGCTCTTGTTTCACTGAATGATAAAACATTTCCTGTGGTTCCTGGCAGTTTTTAATAGAGAGAAAAAGGAAGTGAGGACTACAGCAAAGAAAACGCCGCGCACAAAAGACCTTATAATAATGTCAGAGTATACCAATAGCAAAAAGCAGAGCACTAGAGAGTGGATTCAACCAGAGTAGAGGCAGCTTCTCAACAGGAAAGACCCATAAAATTCCATGTTTAGGAATGGAATTTTGAGGCCAAATCAGAGCTGTGTGTCTTGCTCAAGTAGGTGTCTATTTCTGGGTCCCCTGTTCTCCCTAAGAATTCAATCATCCCACTAATTTATGACTATCTGGCTAGCATGAAAAGAACGGGTAGAAAAAAAAACTTAAACAGAATATCTTTGCCAAACATATAGGCAACCATGGATAAATAAAACTGGATAGCTTCTTCCTGATAACAGGAAGACATTCATTGAAGGCACTCATCTAAAAGGCACACGTGTAAAACATGTATTCATAGTAACATTCAGGATCCAAGAAAATAAAAGAAAAATAACAATTACAAGAATAAAAAGTTGAGTTTTAAAGTTGATTTGAATAAGAACTATGGAACAAGCCAAAACCTGTTTGGGAGAAAGGAATAATAATGGAGAAAAAGAGGTCGAAAGCATTATAAAGGAATAAAACTTTTAAGAACAGGGACAGTCATTCACCTAGCCACGCATATAAACTATGGAAAAAAGTAAAGGGAGGTAAAAGTACATGAAGCCTGTAATAAAGTTTCTGCCAGCACAATCATCAGGAGGGGTCAATCTAGACTCACAGAAGCTGCAAATTTGGGGGTCATAATGGAGTAAAGCTCCAAACATTTAATATTCCACTCTTGTCTCCAATCCCACCTTTTGTACCATATCTACAAAGCCCCACTATTCCCACTCCTTCACCAAGCACCCACACTCTATCCCCAAAATGGCCCATATGTCCTCTGAACATGCTGGAAAAGACCAGCCCAGATAAAAAGACCCAAAGTTACCGAGAATCTCATTCTTATTTAGCCCTAATAAGCTGAGTGTGTGTGAGCCCAGACAGAGAGATATGGTCCATGAAACCAATGAGTTGAACTATATATGTCTTGCTGAGCCAGCTGGGCCTGAGTCATATCTAGACTCTGCATGTTTATTAACACACAGTTTCCCAGGGCCCCTGTGGTCCTCAGGGTTGTATGCCCTTAGATGTTAGACGCTGTTCAACTGACAATGTACTCCAGAGTTAGAAGAGTCAGGAATACAGATTGTGGCAAAGAAATTAGAGGATTACAGTTTTTAATGTGATAATGTTTCTAGTTTAGACCCTTTCCTTAAAGATATGTCTTCAAATATATTTTACTGGCATAACCTATTAACATAGTTTACATATCTCAAGCATACTAATATTGAACTTATTTGCAGATTTTGATGAGGGATGTTTTAAACATTACAGGAGAAAATATCTTTTTGACAAGCCTAATTCAGATGGAATAGGACTATAATCAATACTACTGTTTTGTCTGTCTCTCCACATAAATATGCACATCACAATATCATTAATATGACCTTGCTAATTAGGCACATATCAGTTAGTAAATTAATAAAGTTGAGTTGTATCACATTAGGATAAGCCATGCATTCATTATCTAGTTTTCATTTTGTGGCTGGCAAAAAAATTAAAACGACAAAAACAGTTGAAGTTCAAGAGCTAAACAGTGCTCAGTATTAATTTTCATTAAATTAATAGTATTATGTTTTCCAAGCCATTTATTGGAAATTTTTATTCCCTAAACCAAATATACATTTAAACTTAATGCAATCATTCCCTGAGTTTATTTTTGAGCTAAGGGCAATTGTTATAAGAGTTTGTTGCTCCGTTGCTGAGAATCCTACAGTTTCTCATGCTTTCACATGTGAAATTCATTTAAATCTTGTATAATTGTTACCATTTGAAGAAGGAATCAAGGCCAAAGGGAAGAAATCTTTCTGCAAATAGAAAAAGATACATTTGTGGAGTGGGGGCTGGGCAGGGGGCGATGGGAGGGAAGAATCCTGGAGGTTTGTGAGGACACAATGTTGATTCCCTTCACTAAAACTTGTTGAGAAATTTGGAGGTTCTGATTTACATTTCAGTTCCACTAAAATTAAAATTAGATGAAAAGCCACATGACAGTAGGTTATTTCTGTAAGCATTCAGTAACTAAATGAAATACAAGATAAAGGAGACAAGAGTAACTAGCAGGAAAGCCAAGGATATGAATAGATGTGACTAGAATTTCTCAGCTCTGTGTGGCAACTGATAGGTGAAAAACAGTAACGGAGACAATGCTACTGAGATTTCTGCTCTTTTTGTTAAAACTTCAATCTGGATTAAGCTATTTTCACCCAAGTCAAAACTTTCACTGAGAAAATATAGGGCTTTTCAAGGTGTGGTTTTAGCCAATTAATTTCTTCTTTTGGTCATTAGCATTTGGAATGGCCATCTATGACCTGGTCCTCAAGCCGGGCCTGGTCTTCACAGTTCAAGTGCTGCAGGAAGGTCTTGCCCTGATGCACTTGTCTTTGTACAGTAATAAAGTCCTCCTCGGCCCTGTGGGAACTTTCTCTGGCCTCTGGTCAATCAGGCAACCACAGTAATCAGTAGAACCCTCCATGGCAACTCAACACTATGGCAGCAGTGAGTTTCCTGACACTCAAATTGGTTTCTACATAGTCCCAAAAATGTGTGTTGATAATCGGATTAACAAAAATTCATTAACAATTGAAAGAGAAAGGTCAAGAATGTTTATTCAGAGTGGAAGGAGAAAACTCCTCATTCTTACCGTCATCCACAATGTCCTGAGCGGCCACGGAGTTTGTGTACACAACCAAATCAGAGAGTTCTCGGCAGAGCTTCATGGTTTTCCTTCGGCGACCCAATCTGTGAGGTACCCACATAGGACGCATGACATTTTGGAGTTGAAAGAGGTTTGGGTTATTGGTTATCCCACTTTCCTTATTTAAGACAATGATTTAATAGGGAATACCTGCCCCAGGTCCTAAGGGAGCCAGGATTGGAACCCAAGTGTGATTCCTAATTCAGTGCTCTTTCTACCACAAAAATCCTACCACAGTAGTCCCCTCTTAACCTCAGTTTCCCTTTCCAGAGTTTCATTTGCCCATAGTCAACCATGGTCTAAAAATATTAAGTGGAAAATTTCAGAAATAAACCATGAGATTTTTTTTCCTTTTTTGAGACACAGTCTCTCTCTGTCACCCAAGCTGCAGTGCAGTGGTGCAATCTTGGTTTACCGCAACCTCCACCTCCCGGGTTCAAGTGATTCTCTTGCCTCAGCCTCCCGAGTAGCTGGGACTATAGGTGTGCATCACCACGCCAGCTAATTTTTTGTATTTTCAGTAGCGACAGGGTTTCACCATGTTGGCAGGCTGGTCTCCAACTCCTGACCTCAAGTGATCCACCCGCCTTGGCCTCCCAAAATGCTAGGATAACACCCGGTCATGCATTTTAAATTGTGTGCCATTCTTGGTGGCATGATGAAATCTTGTGAGGTCCTGCTCCGTCCCACTCTGGACGTGAGCCATCCCTTTGTCCAGCATATCCATGATGTATGGCTTCTTATGTGACTGACTGTGGAGGTTTTGCAGTGCTTATGTTTAAGAAACTCTTATTTTACTTAATAATGGCCCTAAAGTGCAGGAGTAGTAATGCTGGCAATTCAGATATCCCAAAGAGATGCTGCAAAGTGCTTCCTTTAAATGAAAAGGTGAAAGTGCTTGACTTAATAAGGAAAGAGAAAAACAATACATAGAGAGGGTTCACTACTATCTGTGGTTTCAGGTGCCCACCGGAGTCATTTCTCATGATAACGTGGGGACTAATGTAATGTGGTTTTATTCACTGCTCTGCCAGGAATCACAGCCTCTTCCTCATGCATTTGTGAGTTCTGCTGTGAAAGGCTGGATTCCCACTGTGACCCAGTTAGAGAGTAACACCAGAGTTCATCAGGAAACTATATGGCCTTTGCAGGGAGGAGACCTGGGCTAAAATGGAACAGAAACACTGTATAGTGGGTAGTGGGCCACAAGAATTATATACCTAAAGGGTAAGATGCCAAATTTCCATAGTGATTATTGGACAGGTGTCATTACAAAGGATATTAACTTTCTTCTTTATACTTTTTCTATATTCTCCAGCTTTCTTAAAACAAACATTCATTACTTTATCTAGTGCTGCTTTTATCTTAGATATTTTAATAGTCTTCTCTCTCCTACAAACCACTCCTAGGATCTGCTCTGCAACCTTACAAATTGTACCGCCACTCTCTACTGCAGTCAAGTCCTCCACAGACCATCACATTCCCCTCACACACACACTTTTCTCCTATGGGAAACATAACTACCAAAAACAAACCTAAACGTTAGTGTTCAATTAAACTTTATATTTTTAAGCTCCAACAGAATATCTATACATAAAATAGTAACTAATTAGGAAGAGCAGAGGAGGCGTATGTGGTCCGTACTCTAGGGAACAGAAATAATATGTGTTATTGCCTGCCTTTTTGGTTATAAGTATCCTAGTGGATGTGAAAAGGTAGTTTTGATTTATATCTCCCTAATGTCTAATAATGTTGAGCACCTTTTCATGTGTTTGTTGGCCATTTGTATATCTTCTTTTGTGAGGTTTCTTTTCAATAGTTAGATGTTCCCCTATAGGAGAAAAGTGGGTATGTGAGGGGAATGTGATGGTCTGCTGAGAACTTTACTGTGGTAAAAATCAATAGAAAAAGAATGCATGCTCCTTCTTTACCATATAATTAGGAAACTCTACAGCCACTGGTGAAAATCTGATTTTGTGAAGGCTAATGATTATAAATCAGTGTGAAGTCATGCCTCAAAATTATAAAACTGTAAGACATTCCGTGAGATGGAGAAATTCTACAGAAAATTAACTCTTTTTATTCCTCATCCTAGAGGTGCCTTAGGTTACTGAAGTCCCAAAAGGACATCATCATAGATGCTCAGGCCCTGATAACTATTATGGGAAAACCTATAGTTGACACTAAGCAGCATGCAAAATGATTTCCTATGATACCTGTATTGACGTCTCCTTTGCACACATTAAGATTACTGTAGCTTTCCTCAAACACTGCCTTTCACCTGGCTATATGTGTCAGAGTTAAGCCTTTCTCAAACTTACATATGACAACAGTCACAGCAGAGGTCTCCCAGAAGGTGATCCTATTATTTTCTCTTTATCCTTTACTGTAACTATATATTCAATTTTCTGTTCCCTAGAGTAGGGACCACATACATCTCTTCTGCCCTTCTAATTAGTTACTAGTTTGTGTGTAGATATTCTGTTGGAGCTCAAATATAAAGTTTAATTGAACACTAAAGTTTTATTCCTACAGGGCTTCTATGCTTCTAATTTCATTTTTCAATAAAGGCAAAAGTGTGTGTATGCATCCATATCTATCTAATGTATATAATTTGTATTTCTTTGTGAATGTTATGGTATAAATAAACTGCCAGGAACTCCTGTAATGAATCATGTGTCACCATTTGGATTCTGAAAATACGGTCATGTTACTCATCACAAATACTATTGGCAATAAAAACAAACAAAAAACAAACAAACAAAAAAGAACTTTTTTTGGATACTTATTTAATTGGGCCAGGGCTTTCGGGGCTAATTAGTTTAATTCCTTTAATCCTTACAATGACTCTAAGGGACAGATACAATGAGGAGCCAAACACATCCTATGTTAAAGTTGGTAAGTGGAGGAGCAAGAATTTGAAATCTGGTTGATTTCAGATGCTTGGCTCCTAACATGGGCTTAGCATCCATCTTCTTTAGTCTCTTGTGACGGCCTTTGTATTAGTTCATGTGCTCCCTCCCTCTTCTCTGAAAATACCTTTGATTAGACAACTGCTGCAGCTAACATTTATAAAGAGCTCATTATGTGCCAGGCACAGTGCTGAGTTCCCTACATAAACTATCATTTCATATTCGGCTGTTCTTCACATGTTCCACAGCACAGAGTACTTTCCTTGTGATCCAATTCTCTAGACATGTACAAGAAAAATGATTAAGCTGACACGGATGGAGGGGCCTCAGGAGTGTGAGCAGGAGACACGGAGATGCTTTCTTACCTGTACAGCTGTCCACCCTCCTTGACAGTATTCTGCTGTGTGTCTTCCTCATCATCAGTACTGTAAGATTTAGACCGTGATTTTGTAGTTTTCTGCCAGAAAAATCAAAACAAACTTAACAAACTCATTGTATCAAGTATATTTACAACATGCAGAAAATGAGCTGGGCTTTAAAATGCACATGTCTTGCACAAGCATAATAACTTGGAGGGAAAAAATGACCAAATATTGCAGTTTGCTTTACCATTAATAACAAGAATATCTAAGGCCATAATTATATTAAAATGTTAATGCAAAACTGAGAGTTTCATGCTCAGAAACTGACTTCAAAGACACACAAAGTTGATGTATTAGAAAGACTTTATTAGTCATGCATTTTGAAGGTTTCTACTAGGGGTAGAGTCAAAATTGCAGTATCTATTTAAATGATTATAAGGGACAAAATGCCCTTTTGTATGGGAAGCTCACTATTAATAAACTGTAAAAGGCACATTTGTTTTTTTAAAAAAGGACATGTAGTAATTTTTTTTAAAAAAAATTGAATAACTACCATTTCTGCTTTTGATCAGTATGCACTCAAATGACCATCTGAATCAAATCTCCCTTTTGAGATTTTGACCCATTTTCACTTCTATCAGCAGGAAAAAATATTGCTACCCACAGAATATAGGCTGAAAGGCTCCAGGTTTAATCTGATGTCTTTTGGACAGATTAGCTGTTTCACAATAAAACTTTTTTGGGATGGTATGATTTCATCCCCATCAATTTGGAGATAGCCCCAGTATTTAGGCAACACAGACCTCAACAATACAAATGATGGGCAAGGTGTGGTGGCTCACACCTGTAATCCCAGCACTTTGGGGGGCCAAGGTGGGTGGATCACCCGAGGTCACAAGTTCAAGACCAGCCTGGTCAAAAAATGGTGAAATCCCATCTCTACTAAAAATACAAAAATTAGCTGGGTGTGGTGGCAGGTGCCTATAATCCCAGCTACTTGGTAGGTGGAGGCAGGAGAACCGCTTGAACTCAGGAAGTGGAGGTTGCCGTGAGCCGAGATCCCACCATTGTACTCCAGCCTGGACAACAAGAACGAAACTCCATCTCTAAATAAATAAATAAACAATACAAATGATGGGGAAGGACCACCCCAATAATTGCAGACAACTTTGCCTTCAAAAATACAGTGTCTACAAACAAAAGTAAGATGTTTAGACAGAGAACCCTGGACGTCAGGAATGTGGCTTAGAAAGGGAAAGGGTCTCCATCCCCAAATTACCATAGGACCAGCCACTTTCTAGATTTTCTCATGTTTCCCCCAACCCCCACCCCAAAATCAAAAAAGCTACACAGCTGGCATAAACATACGCAACTTCTCTCTATTGCACTGACAGTGAGGTGCCAGTTTGGTTTGGAACTTTCTCCGGTATTATTTATGCCTTGAGAACCTCAGCATGCAGGTATGGAAGCCCTACCATTTGAGGATCTCATGTTCCACCTTTCACGAAGCTGGTAACCTGGCTAACCTCACTAGCTTCCTATTGGATCTTTAGAAAAAGTGTGGCAAGAACATCTATTTCAAAGGATTATTGTTGTGATAATTAAATAAATGGCACAGAAAGTCATTCTCTAATCTATATAACATTAACTTTCCATTTAAAATACTGTCAATATTTATTAAAATAATCTATAAATAGTCTCATGGACAACAATTTGTTCTTATAACTTGAGGTATGATAAATTTTAATTAGGTGAAGTACTCCCTAAAACATCTATTTTGAAAGACTATTTTAATTGTAATGACAAGTTGCAAACCAGAAGTGAAATACTCTCTAATTCCACATAGTAATTTGAGTTATACAATAATAAATGTCTTTTTAAGCATCATTTTTTTTTTTTTTTTTTTTGAGACGGAGTCTCGCTCTGTCACCCAGGCTGGAGTGCAGTGGCCGGATCTCAGCTCACTGCAAGCTCCGCCTCCCGGGTTTACGCCATTCTCCTGCCTCAGCCTCCCGAGTAGCTGGGACTACAGGCGCCCGCCACCTCGCCCGTCTAGTTTTTTGTATTTTTTAGTAGAGACGGGGTTTCACCAGGTTAACCAGGATGGTCTCGATCTCCTGACCTCGTGATCCACCCGTCTCAGCCTCCCAAAGTGCTGGGATTACAGGCTTGAGCCACCGTGCCCGGCCTTAAGCATCATTTTTACTATAAAATGCAAAAATTAGAAATAATAAATGAATCACCAATGACAGATAATAACATTCAGAGAGTGATATACATTCTGGACATCCAGTTTTGACACATCTTTTCATGGTTATCGTATCATAGAATCAACTTCTCACCTTACTTTTTCATTTAATGTTTCACATGTTGAGCTCTTCCAAGGGATCATATTTTAATGGCCACATAATTGTCCATTATGTGAATGACTCACAGATTACTTACACACTCTTTGGGGGTGAACATTTTGGTTGTTTTCAATATTTTGTGACAATGACTAATCTGACTAGTCTACAATAAATTATCTCACTGATGGGCAGGAAATTCTATATATGACATTCCTTAAAGTAGAAGAAACGGCCTTACAGAAACCTCATGTATAAAGTAAAGTTCACCATCTAATAATCGAATTCTTATGTGAGTTTTACTGTCAAACAGCTAATCTGTCCAGAAGACACCAGTTAGTGTAACTTTTTTTTATTTTATTGAAGTATAACATACAGTTAGGACAGCACACTGGTCCTAAGTGTACAGGTTGATGTCTTTCACAAATCAACCACACGTATGATGAAATAGAATGTTATCTGTCTCCCAAAAGCCTTCTGATCTTCCAACCCTGTCATTCCTTTCTCTGTGGAGGTAATAACTATTCTGATGTCTACTCTATAGGGTTTCTTTTGCCTGGTTTTGAATTTAATATCAATGGAAGCAAACTGTATGTACTCTCTTGGGTCTGGTTTATTTTGCTCAACATCATGTTTATAAAGATCATCATATTATTGCATAAAGTTGTAATTTTGTCATTTTCTTAGTTGTTAACTATTCTCTTATGTGAATACACCACAATTTTTATTCATTCTATTATCAATGGACATTTGTATGTTTTCCTCTTTGTACTATTACCAATCTCAATACAAATATTGTTATTTCTGTCTTTTTTTACTTTTGTAGATGGAGTTTCACTCTTGTTGCCCAGGCTGCAGTGCAGTGGCGCAATCTCGCCTCACTGCAACCTCTGCCTCCTGGGTTCAAGCAATTCTGGTGCTTTGGCCTCCTGAGTAGCTGGGATTACAGGCACACACCACCACACCTGGCTAATTTTTGTATTTTTAGTAGAGACGGGGTTTGGCCATGTTGGCTAAGCTGGTTTTGAACATCTGACCTCAGGTAATCCACCCACCTTGGCCTCCCAAAGGGCTGGGATTATAGGCATGAGCCACTGCACCTGACCTATTTCTGTCTTTTGACATATACCTAACAATAGAACTGCTAAGTCATAGTACGTAGTCAGATACTGTGAAATAGTGGGCCAAAGTAGTTGCACAAATGTGCACAACCATAAGCGGTGTATGAGAATTCAAGTTCTTTGGCCTCACTAACATTTGGTTCTTGCCGTCTTTTAATATCTGTTGTGGTGGGTGTATATGGAATTACATAGTCATTTAAATTGTGTTTCCCAGATGACCGATAGGTGAATCCCTTTTCTTTATTAGCAATTTGGATATCTTCTTCTGTGAAGTGCCTGTTTAAGGGTTTTGCCCATCTTTTAGAAATTAGGGTGCCTCTCTTTTTATTTATTTATAGAAGCTATTTATAAATTCAGGATAGAATATATAATACACACCCCAGTTTTAGTAACACATATTCATTATGTATTGGATATGTGTATTTAAGATGTTAAATACAGTTTTTTGGGATATATTATTGGATATATGTATTCAAAATATTATTTCCCAATATGTAACTTGCTTTTTGATACTGTTGATGTGTAGAAGTTCTTAACTTTTAAAGTACTTTAAATATCAGTCTTTCCCTTTACCGATGTCCCGTTTAAGAAATCTTCAGTTATTCCAAGGTCATGATGATATTCTCCTGTTACCTTCCAGAATCTTTAAATTAACTGAATTATGCATATTTATTACTCTTAATTCATACCTTATGTTTTCCGAAGTTGGTCATGAGCGATCGTCCATGTGATTTCTTTCCACTTTCCTTTACATCTGGACTCTGAGTAAACAAAGGCATAATATAACTATTTATCTTCTTTGCTTTTGTCTTTTTCCTTAGTTCTGGTGGAATGGCAAGGGGGCCCTCTCTTCTCTTCTGTTTGCCTCTAGGTGAGAAACAAGCAGACTCCACTCATTTCCTCCTGCTCCACACTCCACTACCACAAAGGTGGCTCTGCCTGACTTGGAAAGGGAAATATTGGCACGGAGAGATGGATGCCAGCCAGGACGCAGCAGCTGCCTGTACCTTCCCAAAGCTAAGGTCAAGGGCTCTCAGCAGTGTGCAGGTGTGCTGGCCCTCATGGCGCCTGTTCACCAGGCTCTCCACAGCACAGGATGTGTTCTTTTAAATGTTCTGAGTGGGGTTAAGTCATTTTCAGTTAAGTGGGGATTCAGTTTTGGAAAATGACCAAAAGTCATTAGCAGCCAATTCTATTGAATAAAGAAAGTGGATCACATTGACTAAACAGTGCTATGTGGGATTTTAAAACATTATAAATAAATAAAATCCAAGGATATCTATGACACAATAAGATTGTTTTTGTTTGTTTAAAGTAAACCAAGCAAAGTGTATCTGTTCGCTGAAATAATTCTCTCTGTGATGAGCACTGGAAAGAGGTATTGTAGCCTCTGAATTTTTCCTTACATAGGTTAATTTTCCAGTTAGAGACACTGGGCCAACTCTCTTTCCTGGAGCCTATGTCTCATTAGGGAACAAAAGGCCACCTGCTAAGAGGGTTTAAACTCTTATTCATTTGTCATCCCTAAAAATATGTTAGGTGGTTCAATACTAATAACATGGTATAAGGAGAGACCAGTAGGCCCTACCTGACCAGGACTCCAGCTAAACAGAGGAGAAACAGGTGACCACATAAATGGAACAAATGTGGGTGAGCAAAAACAGTTAAAGCCAAAAGGTTGGGAAGGGCATCTGTATATGCCCATAGACGCTAATCAAAGATGCAAGTAGAGGTGGGAAGAGGTTGGGTGAAGTCCAAGAACTGGTTGGGGAAAGAGCAGTTCAAAAAATGCTGGAGGAGTAATGGTGAGGGGTTTACAAGGTGACTGATGTTAGGTAACTGTTAACTGATTCATGTATGTTTATTGCTTTTGGAGATCTATCAATGCAAATCATTAACTGTTCAAAAACTGTGGAAATTTTTTTTTTTTTTTTTTTTTTTTTTTTTGAGATGGAGTCTCGCTCTGTCGCCCAGGCTGGACTGCAGTGGCCAGATCTCAGCTCACTGCAAGCTCCGCCTCCCGGGTTTACGCCATTCTCCTGCCTCAGCCTCCCGAGTAGCTGGGACTACAGGTGCCTGCCACCACGCCCGGCTAGTTTTTTGTATTTTTTTTTAAGTAGAGACGGGGTTTCACCATGTTAGCCAGGATAGTCTCCATCTCCTGACCTCGTGATCCGCCCGTCTCGGCCTACCAAAAGTGCTGGGATTACAGGCTTGAGCCACCGCGCCCGGCCAAAACTGTGGAATTAAGAAGGCAACCAGATGTGGTCATAGATGTAGCACTGGTCTCCAAGTTAGAAGACCCAGTTCTGCCACCAAATAGCTACATGTCCTTTAGAAAGCCTCTTCTTTTGGTCTGTTTTTTTTAAATCTGTGAAATGAACCAATTAATCTGTGAGTTCCTTTCTATTTCTAGTAACCCATCTATTGGTAGGGGGCCCATGCCATTTATTGTCCAAAACAGGACCTTTTAAGAATAAAATGGGATACTTTTAATAATTATGCTGGGACAACAGGTATAAAGCATGGCTGTCACAGGCAAATTGAGGTATAAGGTCACACTATTTAGTAGGCACCTACTATACCCTAAGGATAATGTTAATTACATTACATATATTCTCATTTACTATAAGAATATATGTAACCAACCCTGGAAATAAGTATGATTAAAATCCCAATTTTACAGAAGAGGAAAGCAGAAATACAGACAAGTTAGATTACATTCCCAAAGTTACAAAGCTCGTTGGTGATAAAACAGGATTCTGTCTAGTTACAAGTCCTCTCTCTGGCTTCCTTCCACTTCCCCAACATTTTCTATCCCATTATCATGCTCTTTATGTAGGAAATAGATATCTACAAATACCTATCACCAACTTGGACCTCTCCCTGAGCATCGGCACATCTTTCACTGATTTAATGAGTAAGACATTGTCCTAGGAACTCAGCATGTATATAAGGACAAGAGCAAACAGAAGAGATGCAGACTCTGCCCCTATTTGGCTTACAGTCTAATAGTAGAGACAAATGATTACAATACACTGTCATAAGACTATAATGGGGAAAGCTTAGGGTACTGTGGGATGGCAGAGAGAGACCATCTACTGTATTTGAGAATTAAGAACTTCCAAGGGGACATGATACAAAAGCTGAAGCCTAAAGATGAGTACAAGTTATCTACGTAAAATGGGGAAGAGCAAGTGTACTATGGCCAAGAAAACAGCCAACACGAAAGCCATGTGGTAAGAGCATGGTGCCAGGAAATGTGGCAAGTGGAGGTATGCACGTGTGGACTTATACACATGCACACTCTGTGCGTGTCACCGCTAGGAGCCAGAACAGGAAGGAAGGATCTTATGGGCTATTATCTCTGAATCCGAGCTTTATCCTCCAAACTATGAGGATCCCTGAGATGGTTGAAAACAGGAGAATGACATGACCCGATGCACATTTCTGAACTATCACTATGGCAGTGGTGTGAATGAGACATTAAGCAGGGCAGCTGAGAGCTTAGGAACTTGTTAAGGTTATCCAGGCAGCAGTAGTTCAGATATAAAGAAAGCAGCAGATTCCAGAACTCTTAAGAACCATTTCCTGTGACTACTAAGTTCTTCCAGCCTGAAGGTGAATTTCATTTTTATTTTTCTTCAGGGTTCCGCAGGAAAAAGACAGTACAAATAGAAATGAATTCTGCACTGTTGATTGACGGTCCAGAAAAGTAGAAGCTGGAGTGACGTGCTGCCCAGAGCCACACTCAGCACATTCTCAGCTTTGGATTTCAACCGACACATGTATCTGGTACAGATGGACTCGTCTCAACAGTAACTTGCCTTTGCTTGCCGAGTGAACTGAAACCATATTTTAAAAACATAGCAGTGTTAAAAAACCTCAAAAATAAGTAAAAAGGAGATGAGTTTTGCTACACTACCTCTCTAAAATTTTCGGTTCTCTTACCATTTTACCTGATGGAGAAATGGTCATTAGGATCTCTTTAATGAATAGCAAAAGAGAGACGGGCTTAATTTGTTTCTTCCAGAATATCCAAGCCTTATGGTTTGCATTTCCAATTAGATAATCTAGGATGGGGCAAAGACTTCTCCAAACACATAAGGGAAGTAACTGGCCCAGATGAGCCAATGAGAGTTCACTAAGGACAAGAAGCAGAATCAAGATAGGCTAAACAAGTCTGATCTTACAGGTACTTCTGGTGTTGAAAATAAATGGCTGGAGGCGAGGAGAGTGAGAAGATTGTTGCTATTTATAGAAATTATTAAGAAAATCCAGAATTATATGATAAACTATAAGGGCAGTAATGCTGTAATTGACCTTTTGGTTGTCTCCCCAGTATTCCATCTGCCCCCTAACATGCAGTTTGAGAGGCGCTAACCTCGACAAGAGCTTCAGAGGTAAGTTCTCACTGGCATTAGCAAGCTATTATGATCCTATACTCTGGCCAAGTACTGTTTCAGGAAGGACACTTACCCATGGCCACTGTGATTAGTTTAGGGGTAGGCACATGAACTAGGCAACTCTCGTTTGTTAGTTGGGGCAAATATGCTCTCTCAATCTCTCTGGATATGGACCAAGAAACACATAGCTCATGGGCCTGTTGGCAGTCATCTCGCAACTATCATGGACAGCTGATGGACAGGAGAACCAGACTTGAGATGACACTGATAGCATGATAGGTAGAGCAAAAAGATAGGTCTACGATGACACCACTGAGCCTCTGGATTAAACCCACCCCATAGGCCATTCTGCAAATAAATTTGCTGCTTATCAAACCCAACATCTTCTTCATCATTGAAGCCATTTTGAATTAGGATTTCTATGTTTAGAAACTAAATGGGCCTGAGGAACAGCCTAGCAATTGGATGGCTAGACTCGTGTAGGGTCCAGAGGGCAACCATCAATGCAGAGTGATCACTTAGGATCCAAGGGCGATCACCCCCATATGATCTTCCTTCTGCCTGAGGAGCTGTCAGCCCTGGAAGACAGGTGGTAGTAGCAGGGAAGGCAGACATCTAATGAATGTGGAGAGGTGGGAGGGCAAGGGACACAGGGGCCTGGAACTTCTTCCCTCACCTGAGCATGCAGATGATTCTGAAAACACTCAGCTTTGTCCTGCGGGTCCAAGTGGAGCAGTATTTGAGTCATTTCTACCTCCACCCAATCCACTTTTAACTATTTCTCATATCATTTTGGAATAGGAGATGTTCATTTCTCAAGCAAAATGAGGACAGAAATAGAAGATTGGAGGAGCATTTCACAAATGATTAGAAACAAAGTATGAGATGCTTTCTTTTTCCTGTTGAAGGATAAGTACAAGAGGGAATCAGATACCTGCTTCAGGTGTGCATTTAAGCCTTCATGCGTGGCCTTCAATAGTGCCCTCACTGTGAAACTATCAGGATCTTCTTTATCTCGAATTTGAGATTCTTTTAACAGTGACTCCAGCTTTTTCCTTATGAAAGATTCCACCTGATGCTCAGTGGTCCCATTATTCTGCAAAGAATTAAGTAATACAAATGATTTCCTTAAGAAACACATTGAATTAGAATATACCACAGTTACTTCTATAATTTCACTGTCTCTCAATTACTTGTAAGTAATTAAGCTCAAGCTCATTGTACCATCTCGGTCTTCCCTCCTCCACAAATCCTATAAGAATAAGGATTACTATTTATTAAGAACTAATTCTCTGCCAGCTACTCTTCATGTGACTGTATTCAATCCTCAGGAACCTTGTAAGTATTATTATCATTTTCATTTCAGTGATATGGAATCCAATGCTTAGAGAGAAATCAAGTAAATTGCTCAAGGTTACATAGCTAGCAAATAACCGAAGCAGGATTCAAACTCAGGACTCCAAAGCCCTTCCCACTATGCTTATGCTATTTGATGCTTTTAACAGATAAAAGGCCAGGGAAAGTTTTTGGAAACTAAGTTTTCTAAACCTACATAAGTAAATTAGAACAAAAATATGCTATTAAAATAAAACTACTTTTTTCACTGAGGAGAAAAGAATGCTATGGAAATTTCCGGAGTTGAGGATTATTGTGAGATACATTTCCTGCCTATTTCCAATCCCACTGTATGGTTAGGGGGAACCTCAATAATTGCCTCAGCCATGATTTGTCATTACAATAACTTTAAGATCACAACGAATTTCAAGGGGGTTGGATATCAGAGCTACGACCTGTCCAGCTGGTGACTCACAGAATTTTGAGGTGATCATGGGATATAGATTCTCTCAAAGCCCTGCTTAGCACAGCTTTTCAGCCACTTGTTCTGCTTGAAACCAATGGCCCCAGCCTCCGTTCACAGCTCTTCTGCTCTTCCAGTGCGTCTATCTCTCCCTGTTTCCAATACCTTTCCCTAAATTCTTCAACCACTTGCTGAAGACCAACCCACCCAAAGGGAGGAAAGGAGTACTCCTTGACAAGAACAATTCCTACATTCTTCACCAGAAATTTAAGGCTGTTCTTCCATTGGCAAATCTGTTTCTAAGAGGTCATTATATGTCAACTCTGCATAATGGGTAGCTTTCCAATAATGCATTCATTTTCACAAAATCCTGTAAGAACAAAGCAATTATAAATGCCCTAAGGAAAAATTTCAAAAATCTACACCAGGATAGGTTATTGAATTTCCCTGTATCACTATCACATGCATTAATATCTTTAGCAAGCCCAATTAACGAGGCACAGCACTTCCCTGGAGACCTCTAGGTCCAGAAGGAGATGCAAGGATGAAAAAGAGTTGGCTCTAACATCATAAGAGAACACCCTCCTGTCATGCTAGAAAAGACATGTCCCCAAATATTCTACCCTGGTCTACAATGATGCCTACAAAAGCACAGACAACCAATACAACAGAGTTTCTGATAAGGAACACAGCATTACTGCCTGAGTGACTGAGAAGGCCCCAAAAAAGAGGTGGGAATTGATCAGAGCTCTCAATGTAACTGAGATTTCAACAGTGATGGAAAGAAGGGCTTTCCTGCCAACCACAGTTCTAGCAAAGGATTTACATGAATTAAGAATGTTCTGTAAATGCAAAGAACACATGAGTTTTCCTAGAGTTCATAGGGTATGGTAGTGGCAGATAAAGAACTTTGGAGAGTGGAGGGACTTGAAAGCAAGAGGTATGGAGCTGCTAAGAGAGTCTGAGTGAACAAGTCCTTGTGTAGCAACTCTAGAAACAATATTAATCTGGCAGCGTGTGCCAAAAGAGGAAGTGTGTCTGCAGATGAAACATCAGGCACACTGGGCCCCACTGCAGGAACTGAGTGCCCAGGATAATGTGCTGGGGGTAGTTAACAAAGTTGAGAGATAATTTGGGAACAAAACTCATTTTGTATATTTAGAAAAAAAAACAACCATGTATTGAGCGTCTGCTGTGCCAGGTGAGAAGTATTGAAGAGAAATACCACCAACTGTCACAGAGCCCTCAGTGTCATGGAGAAGGCCAACACATCCCTGGATAATTACACAAGCAGGAACAAGTAGAGTGACAGGTGTGAGGGGTAGCATATGCACACAGAGGAGGCGCACCTTGTGCCTAGGGGAATTGGGGGACACTTCCAGGAGCACAAGAAACCTGAGTCAAGCCTTAAAAGATGAGTATATTAGTTTCCTGTGACTTGGCCGGGTGCCATGGCTCATGTGTCTCTAATCCCAGCACTGTGGGAGACCAAACTGGGAGGATCGCTTGAGCCCAGGAGTTTGAGAACAGCCTGGGCAATATAGTGAGACCCTGTCTCTACAAAAATTTACAAAATTAGCTGGGCATGGTGGCACACACCTGTAGTCCTAGCTACTTGGGAGGCTGAGGTGGAAGGATCCCGTGAGCCCAAGAGTTTGAGGCAGCAGTAAGCTATGATCATGCCACTTCACTCCAGCCTGGGTCACAGAGCGAAGCCCTGTCTCTAAAAAATAATAATAAAATAAAATAAAGTTTCCTGTGACCAATATAACAAATTACTACAAACTTGGTATCTTAAAACAATAGAAATGTACTTATTTTCTCACACATCTGGAGGCCAAAAGTATGAAATCTAGGTGTTGGCAGGGCTACACTCCCTCTGAAAGCTCTAGGGCAGGATCCTTCTTTGTCTCTTCCAGCTTAGGATAGCCCCATGTATTCCTCAGCTTGTGGCAGTATCACTCCAATTTCTGCCTGTGTCTTTATATGGTCTTCTCATGCATGTCTCATCCATCTGTTTGTGTCTTCTCTTCTTATGAGGACACTTATCACTGGATTTAGGGCCTACATGGTTAACCCAGGATTATATTATCTTGAAGTCCTTAACTTAATTATATCTGCAAAGACCCTTTTTTCCAAATAAGCTCACATACACAGGTACCAGGCATTAAGACTTGAACCTATCTTTCAGTGGCCACAAATCAACCCACTGTCATGACTAAGAGCTGATCATCTGGCAAAGAGTAGGGGGACAGCATTTCAATGTGAGGAAAAGCACGGAGAAAACAAAAAGTATCAAAAGAACCAGTAATCATATGAGCAAGGAGAGAAGAGCCACAGGGAAATATAGAAAAAGCAACTAAGATTGTACCCAGTAGGCCCCCTTTATGCATGGGAGATACATCAAAAAATCCTCATTGGATGCTGAAAGCAATGGATATTCCTGACCCCTATGTATGCTATATTTTTTCCCACATAGTAATGGTTGGATACACTGGACACAGGGATGATTCACATCCCAGGTGGGGTGGAGTAGACAGTGCAAGATTTCATCACACTTCTCAGAATGGTACACAATTCACAACTTACAAACTGTTTATTCATAGAATTTTTCATTCAATATTTTGGGCCATGATTGACTGCAGGAAGCAAACCCACAAATAAGGGGGAGACTGTATTGTACTAAGGCTTCCTTCTAAACCACTGTCATGTAAAGATACTTCATTTGAGCTGCTGAACCCCATTTAAGGCAAACACTAGGTTAGCCAATTCTTTCTCGTAATGACACAGGCAGAAAGGTTCAACCACTCAACCAAACACACGTGCCTATGAAAATGGCTGAATTGCAGCTCGAACCTCCTAAGACTTCCCATTCAAGACTGTGTCTATTTTTCCATACAATGTGGCAGCTATCCCTCTTACATTGTTACAGAAAAAGAGAAATTCTTGAGTCAAAGTAACCACATATAGGTTCATATTTTAAAAAGCCATTATTTCTATCATGAATCCAGGGAAATACATCATCACAATCCCTCTGGGAAAAACAATTTCACTTAAGGTCAAAAGCAAATCCAAGAAAAGAACTCCACATCTCTAACCCCCAACGCATTTGATCAAGACCCAGGGCCCAATGGAGTGTGCATTTGTTGAGAGGACAAAAAAAAAGAAAGCATGTAAGAGCACCTAGGGTATCCAGTGTCATACAGAATGCTCCAAATGAGCATCCATTTCCTTCCCTCACTCAGGGCCTCACAAAGAGGCAGAGACTTTAAGGAGAAGATCTGTGGCCATGACACCAAGTCACTTTCACTGTCAGCAAGGCAAGGCTCAAAATACAAAGCCAAAGCCGACCCAGAGCTGGTAAAATAATGAATGCTTAACACAAAGGCTATGATTATTTACTTCACATCCTCCAAACACTGGGAGCTGCTAAAGGAATCATATCTCTGCCTGTTGATCTTTTTCTTCTCTGTGATTTACAGCACAAGAAAATTGGCAGCTGTGAAGAACAAATAAATGTGTGGCTGAGGTTTCATTAATATATTATCATTCGGCCCTGGAATCCAATAGCACTACCGAAAGGAAGCTAAGACAGACACTTGACCTCGAGACCTACCAGGCACCATGCAGCTGCAGCAGGGACCACAGCTGAAAGCCATAGGTATCTTGGTCTTTTGTTCTCTGGGCCAGTGGGCGAGGAAGGACGCTGCAGCTGGGGGCCAGGAGAGAGCAGTCATTTCATATGGTGGGTAGTTTCCACCAGAGAAGTAATCAGAGTTCTCTAGGTCCTTTTTTGAGAGATAAGTCTGATCCAGGAATCCCTCTACCACAAGTAAATACATTAAACACATTCTCATTTTGTCTCCAGCACGAAGCTAAATCATTGCTGAATACTCAGAAGGATGCCCCAAACGACGACCATCATTCCAGACTGGAAAGATCCAGGAAAGGGGAGAAATTGGGTGCTGCTCCTTGAAAGGGACCTTCCAAATAGTGGGCTCTACCTGGACTACACATTGCCAGCACCAGTGGAGTGCTCAGAAATCCCAGGCCATGCCCCAGACCCATGTAGTAGAATCCCTGGGCCAAGACCCAGACACTGGGGTTTTTAAAAGCTACCCATCATACCAAAGCGTGGCCCAAGTTGAGGACCTTTGCTTTAAAAAAACAAAACAAAACAAAAAAGCAAAAAAGTTGAGGACCTTTGCTTTGCTTAAAAAAAAAAGGGGGGGGGGAGGGAAAAAACTAAAAACTGAAGTATTTCAACATCCCCCCCATTTTTTTTTTCCTGTGGCTAAAGTCCAAAGATGGGAAGAATAATATATTGCTGGCTTTTCTGAGTGCCTCACTGCTTTCCAAGCTGTAAGACCTGAAGGTCTCAGCTGAAGAACAGCTGCTTCTCAGCCATTCAAGCCTGTGTGTTTACTCCTGTCCTCTACCGTCACCTGCCTGCTCCTGTAGCTCACTTAACAACACATTCTTCTGTTCAAGGATCAGTCATATCCATGTATTAGAAACAACTAGGATCTTCCAGGGAGATTCCAAGTCACCTTTATCATTCCCTACCTCTTGTTGCCAGGATGTACTAGTATGCCCAGCACCTGGGCTTTTTGACCCAATGAACGCTTTCCAATAGCAAGACCTTGCAACCTCAAGAGGTAACTCATTCTGTCTTTGAGTGCTGATATGTTTTAAACAAACAAGATTCACAATCCTTCTTAGGACAGCTCAAAGCATAAAAGGAATGACTTAGGAAAAAAGATGAGGGAGGAAAATGATTAAAATGTTTAGTGAGAGAGATACACATGCAGTCTGAATAATGGTTTTAGAGTGTAAGACAAAAATTGCTACATGTCACTGCACTAGGACTCCTTTAGAACTTGCTGGAAGGCTTGGTGTTTATGGGATGAGCTTTATGTAGGAGATATAGAGCTAATGTTTATGCCCGAGAATCTGGCTAAACAGATTTAGAGAACACAAGAAAAAAGATACTGCATAACTCATCAGAAGCAGAAAAAAATTAATGAAGTTGAAATACAGAGGTGGAAAGTGTGTAGAGCATGCTGACATTAGAAGATCCATAAAGATGAATAATAGTGACTTCGCCTCACAGAATCAAATCTGTTAGACTACTACTTTGGTTGAAAGGAAGTCGTCCTCTGTGTCTCTGCGTTGTATGATTCTTGGGTCACCGAACACACTGGCTTTACCTTGTGGCTTATTGTGGCTTACCCATTATAAGCCAGATTTTCTCTATGGCTGGAGCCACAGTATGGCTTAAACTGCTTGCTTAAAAGTAACAGGAGTCTTGTCCTCCTGTTCTGCTTCTAACTCCAGGGTGGCACTGGGAGAGCCTCAAATCCCGCTTCTGGCCTTTGCACTTGGGGTTCTTTCTGCCTGGAACATTCCTCCTCAGGTATCAGCATGACTAACTCTTCACTTCTTTCAGGCCGTTGTTCAAATGCATCTTCCCTGTGAGGCCTTTCCTGGACATCCCATCTAAAACTTCAATAGATCCCTTACATATACACAGCATAAGTGTGCACACACGCACACAGACACACACACCCTTCTTTCCTTTAGCACTGATCACTGTCTAGTACACTATATATTTTACTTATTTGTCTTGTTTCTTGTCTATCCTCATCATCTCCCAATGATGTGTAAACTTCACGAAGGCAATGATTTTTGTCTATTTTGTTACTGACATATCATCCAGTACCTACAACATGATGAGCACATGTCCAACAGGAGATGTTTAATAAAAGTTTATTGAATGTGCAGATGAATCTTATATGACCTCATGAGAGTTGGTGTTCCAGTGTAAATGAATGCAAAGTTAAAATGTCTATTCATTGCAATAACTCAGATATAACTTATAAATCTAACCACATTCTCTCAACTTAAAACCGAGGTTAAAAGCTTCCTCTCAGATAATTATTGGTTCACATAAACTATCCAAAGTACACCCTCTTTTGCAGAAATATGATCAGATATTCAGTTTATCAGGGAATTTATTATAAATTCCCTAGTCAGATAGGGCATTTGAGCCCTCTGCCAACAATAGGACTATAAATGGTCTGATTACAAGATAACACTTTGGTTTTCTAAACACAGCATTGCCTTTTCTCAGAAGAGCTCAAAAATAGCAAAAAACAATTTGAAATATTTCTCCAATATTTCTTCAATGTTGATTTATTTATTTTCTCTTCTAAAATATAACAAAGAGATGCCTGTAAACTTACAGTTAAGGTGTTCTACTTTCACTTAGGGCCACACCAAATAATTCAAATGAAAGATCATATCTAACTCCATGGAATCACGTTCTAAACCATCTCCTGATGTGAGTGTCCAGAAATCAACTACTCTTAGTAAAGAAAAGAGGAATCTAGTTGGATACTTCACAGGTGAAATTATTTATTTGTTCCCATAAGACTACAGCTTACTATTTTTGCATAATCACATATATTGAACTTAGGAAGTTGGAGAGCTCACTGGAGAAGAAAAATGAAATAGCTAAGTGAATAATGATAGATCTACACTACGGCTGGCAACCAAGAGATCTAGAAAACAAGATGCAAAATGATAAAAATCAGAGACAAAAACCTGGTTTATAAAGTAATGCTAAAAACTAAGGCTAAATTATTCATAATCATAAATAACTATAAAAAATAAATACCTAGAAGAGAAAAAAGCAACTATTTAAAATATTAACTGTATAATGACATAGCATAGTTTTCAAACATGTAAATCTATTGAGATTTTCTGTAACCATAGCCCTATTAATTAATGGTATTTAATTTTGCTAACATAAACTATTAAAAGGCAAGAGAAGAATACAGATGGTAACTTTTCCTTTTCACTTCAAGCTGAATCTTCTCCATTTAGCCCATTTAAAGGGCATTAAAGCCAAGAAAGAAGTGTCTACTGAGACTTCAGCTGTCATTAAACTCTTGTCTCCTTTGAAAATAATGCCAGCTCATTTTCACAACCACAGGAAAGGCATCACAGAATTATCTGAAGAGTTGGACTGTTGTTAACAATGTAATAACTGAATTCAGGGTAATGGTGTAAACTACAAGAATGTATACAAAATTTCTCGGTTTTTTTTTTCTTTTTCTTTTTTTAGAGGGCAGAAACATAGTCCTGATGTCTAGAGGACTAACCTTTTCTGTAGAAATAAAATTCTTTACCAAACTATCATCAGCGTGTGCTACTCTCAGGTTGCTGTGTGATTCTAGCAATCACATGAGTTATAGAAAGGAGCAATGAGGCACCTTTTTAAGTCTTATATTTCCCTCAGGTTTGAATTTCCCTTGGATCACCTAGCTAAATGATGCTTTTCTTTTCTTTTTTTCTTTTTTTTGACACGGAGTCTCGCTCTGTCGCCCAGGCTGGAGTGCAGTGGCGTAATCCTGGCTCACTGCAAACTCCTCCTCCTGGGTTCACGTCATTCTCCCACCTCAGCCTCCCGAGTAGCTGGGACTACAGGCGCCCACCACCACGTCTGGCTAATTTTTTTGTATTTTTAATAGAGACGGGGTTTCACCATGTTAGCCAGGATGGTCTCGATCTCCTGACCTTATGATCTGCCCGCCTCGGCCTCCCAAAGTGCTGGGATTACAGGCGTGAGCCACCGCACCCGGCCTCAATGATGCTTTTCTACAAAGGAGGCTCCTTCATCTAGAAAAGGGGGCTGACGCACCAAGCAAGTAACAAACTATTCTATGCCACTTTATTGAAGACTTGGCAAATTAAAGATTTAGCCAAGAGGTCCATGTCTGGAAGGGCTTGGAAATCCCTCTGGTTCAGGGTACATTTTCTTAAAGAGGGGATGGGCATCCCAGAGAAGCAGGCCCACATGCAGGTAGGGTTCCTCCAGCCAACCTTGACAGGGAGCATGGTGGGGCTGCTAGCATGAGGTAGGGAAGACAACGCTAAAGTAAAGCCAGCTTTTATTACCAAAGACAGTAACTTTTTCAACCACAATTTGATTTTTGAATCTGTAATAGGAAATTGATCCCTGGAGAGAGGGTTGAATGAATTAATCACTAAAATTCCTTTCAACACTCAGACACAAGAATCCTTGAATCATTCATTCAACAAACATTTGAGTGTCTGTGTGCCAGCAAACAAAGTAATTTTCAATGAATATCCTTTCTACACCACAGCCACCATAATTGTGAGGCCTCCAACACAGTAGCAACTTGGAACTCCATTGTAATACAGCATATCAAGGATAAAAAATATGGTCATGCCTGCAACTTACATAATGGAGCTTGAATTTGCACTCGTCTTCAATTTCATCTGCACTGTCCTCATCGGAAACTTCCCCTTCCTCTGCATCATCCCCAAGATGATAAGGCAACTTCTTACCCTGAAATGGAACAAAACATCCCCTTTAAAAATGAGAATAAATTCACAACAGCCAAAAGGTGGAAGTAACCCAAGCATCCACTGACGGATGAAAGGATAAACAAAATGTGTATGTACATTCAATGGAATCTTAGCCTTTAAGAAGAAGGAAATTCTGGTACATATTACAAAATGAATGAACTTTGAAGGTATTATGCTGATTGAAATAAGCTAGACATAAAAGGAAGTGTATTGTATGATTCCATTTACATCAGATTCATAGAGGCAGAAAGTAGAATGGTGATGGCCAAGGGCTGAAGGTAGGAGGGTATCGGGAGTTGTTGGTGAATGGGTATAGAGTTTCAGTTTTACAAGATGAAGAGTTTTGGAGACTGGCTGCACACAGTGGGAATGTATTTAATACTATTGAACACACTTTAAAAAGGGTTTATTGTATACATTTAAAAATAGTTAAGATGTTAGATTTTAGGTCACATGTAGTTTACTACAATTAAAAATCATTTTTGAAAAGTAAAAACTGAAAATAAAATATTGTATCATTAGCTAATCATTACTTCAGACTGACTAGAAAACAGACAGTTTGAATTAGGGGCAAAATAAGGGGGAGTAGAGATTTTCAAAAAAGGGAAGTCATCTTAGTTTCAATTAAGTAGAATTAATTAGAGCTACTATAGTTTAAAAAATCAAACCAGGCTTCTATTCAAGAATAGATGACTTGGAACCTGGAGCCAGGCGCAGTGGTTCACACCTGTAATCCCAGCACTTTGGGAGGCTGAGATGGGAGGATCACTTGACCCTAGGATTTCAACACCAGCTTGGGCAACAAAATGAGACTCTGTCTCTACAAAAAATCAAAAAATTTGCTTGGCATGGTAGCAGGTGCCTATGATTCCAGCTACACAGGAGGTTGAGGCAGAAAGATGACTTGAGACCAGGAGGTTGAGGCTGCAGTGAGTCATGTTTGTACTACTGCACTCCAACCTGGGTGACAAAATGAGAAACCCCCTCCACCAAAAAACAAGATGACTTGGCTGGGCATGATGGCTCATCCCTGTAATCCCAACACTCTGGGACGCCAAGGTAGGAGGACTGCTTGAAGCTAGGAGTTTGAGAACAGTTTGGGCAACATAGTAAGACCCCATCTCTACTTTTATTAAAAATTAAAAAATAGAATAGATGACCTATCACAATAACTACCACTCCATCCTATTATATACAACTGCTGTGGTGTGAATGTTGGTGTCCCCCAAAATCCATGTATTAGAACCTAATACCCCACCCATATGATAGTATTAAGAGGTGAGGCATTTGGGAAGTGATTAAGTCATGAGGGCTCCAACAAGCTCCCTTGCCCCTTCTGTCATGTGAGCACAAAAAGTAGGTACTATCCATGAGAATCAGGCCCTCACCAGATGCCAAATCTGCCATCACCTTAATCTTGGACTTCCCAGCATCTAGATCCAAGAGCAATGAATTCTGTTGTTTACAAGTTGCCCAGTCTAAGGTGGTTTTGTTATAGCAGAACAAAGGAACTATGACAACAACAAGCATGCTAATGTCCCTCAGAGCAGCTTGTTCACCTAAGCAGGTTACATGCCACCTTAACAATTATGCCTCACTTTGCATTTAGCAAGCCCCTCTTTCACAGACAATGCAGCGGGACTCCTGCCCAGCTTGAGCACCTCTCCCAGGACCAGGCCATTCCTGACTTACTCAACAACACACTTTAAAAAGGAGGGGCTTTTTGACAGGGAACATTCTTACAAGATATTAAGACAATTAAGTTACAGAATTATATATACAATATTATCTCAGTGATTTAAAAAAACAGCGGAAAAGTCTAAAAATAAATATGGTCAATTGTTAAGGGTAATTATCTCTTTGTAACAGCGCTACAAGTGAACTTTACATTTTCCTTTCCTGCATTTCTCAAATTACATTCAGAAACAGCAAATATAAACTAAAAAGGATAGCAGGGGGTAAGGCCCAGGGGTCTGAGAAAAGCTTCAAGGGCAGCCATCTGTATTAGTAAGGCTTCTTACTACAAGCAGAAAGGAATATTTATTACCAAAATACTGAATCGCTTCCAGAATCAGAGGGTGGGAGGTGGGGCAGAACCAGGCTTTGAGGCTAAGAGGGCAAGGCCACTGTAGTAGGCAGCCTGTAAATCATAGTACAAATGTCTCCTGTCTCAGTATTCACACCCTTCTGCAATCCCTTCCCTTTGAGAGTGACCTGGACCTAGTGCCCCACTTCTAATGAACTGAGTACAGCAAAAGCGATGGAAGGTCACTTCTGAGATCAGGTTATAGAAACATTATACCTGCTTGCTTGCTTCCCCACACTTCTCTCCTTTCCGGGAGCTCTCTCTCTCTTTATCTCTCTCTCTCTGTCTCTCTCTCTCTCTGTCTCTCTCTCTCTCTCTGTCTCTCTCTTTATCTCTCTCTCTCTCTCTCTCTTTCACACACACACACACACACACACACACACACACGTGTTGTGAGCTGTGCTATGGAGAGACCCACATGGCAGGGAAGTAAGAGAGGCCTCAGTAGTCAACAGCCTGAAAGGAACTGAAATGTGCCAACAACAGCCACTAAAGTAATCTCGGAAGCAGAGCTTCCCTCAGTCCAGCCGTGAGATGACTGCAGCCCCAGAGGACACCTTCATTACAGCCTCAAGAGAGACCCTGAGCAGAGGACCCAGCTAAGCCACATCCAGGTTCCTGACCTACAGGGACGGTGGGAATATTCAATGTTTTAAGCTGCCAAATGTTGGGGTAATTTGCTATGCAGCAATAGACACCTAACATAAGCACCAACCAAAATCACAGGGCAGAACAAATTCACTGAAGATAGCATCTCCAACACAACTAAGCACAGAGACAGTGGCTTTCACTCCATCATCCACACAATGGACATCAGGACTACTGCCAGAAGTGCTGCCATGGGCCCTAAAGGAAGCTGCCAGCATGTCCACCCCACTCCCTCCACCCCCAGGATGGGTTCGACTTGGTCCCACTTTCCTACTATAGTTTCTGCTTCAATGTCTGGGACATGTTCACTTGATTGGTGGCTTCTAGATGGGGTGCCCACATCCTAGTCCTAAGAAAGGCTGCAAAAGCAAACTCTGAGCTCCTCTAAGGGAATCCCTTAAAACATAGGGATGGAAACTTCCTTAAACATGGAAGGATGTTCACATGCCTGACAGCCAAAATAACGATACATTTATAAATATCATCCCAGGCTGATCTCTAAACTCAGGTTTCAGTGACTTTTAGTATTCCTGCTCTCCACACCACTATTACCTCTTTCAGAATTCTGGATCCCCTCTTACCCACTTCCTACCTCCGCAGGGCTACCAGCTTAGTCGGATGTTCGGAGAAATGTCTTTCCCAGTTTTCCCACACCTTCCTTGATACCCAAAGCTCTTGACTTGACAGTTTCAAAGCTGGATAAACCATTTATGTAATGAAAGCATAATCTATATTAAGAATCTAAACAATTGGGATTTAGGCAAATATTTTCTTCAACTTACAGAAGGGAATTTGCAAGATTAAAAAGTTGGGGCCGGCCAGGCACAGTGGCTCAAACCTGTAACCCCAGCACTTTGGTAGTCCAAGGGAAGTCGGCGGATCACCTGAGGTCAGGAGTTCTAGGCCAGCCTGGGCAACATGGTAAAACCCCGTCTCTACTAAAAATACAAAAATTAGCGAGGTGGTGAGCCCTGTAATCCCGACTACTCGGGAGGCTGAGGCAGGAGAATCGCTTGAACCTGGGAGGCAGAGGTTGCAGGGTGCCAAGATCGTCCCACTGCACTCCAGCCTGGGTGACAGAGTGAGACTCCATTTCAAAAAAAAAAAAAAAGTTAGGGCCAGGCATAGTGGCTCATACCTGTAATCCCAGAACGTTGGGAGGCCGAGGCGGGCAGATCACTTGACATCAGGAGTTCAAGACCAGCCTGGCCAACATGGCGAAACCACATTTGTACTAAAAATACAAAAATTAGCCAGGCGTGGTGGCAGGCACCTGCAATCCCAGCTATTCAGGAGGCTGAGGCAGGAGAATGGCTTGAACCCAGGAGGCAGAGGTTGCAGTGAGCCGAGATCGCACCATTGCACTCCAGCCTGGGAGACAGAGTGAGATGATCTCCTCAACAACAACAACAAAAAAGTTGGGATCTAATTTGTGTATCATTAATAACAAGGCAGCTCAGAATCAAAGCATTTATTTCTGTATATTATTTCAGGTCCTATTGATACAGAAAGCTCCTAAAAATCAGTTTATTTCTCTATTTTTCTTTACTTTAGGAACATTTGTAGGGTAGTTATAATATAGCAGCACCAGAAACAAGGTACTCAATTAGGAGGTGACCAGACATATTCAGAAACAAGATATCAAGATATCATCTTTCTTCGTTCATTCAGAATCTGCTTTGTTTTAGGTACCATGGCAGACAGCAAGATGAAACTGTACACAAGACATTTAAAAGGTAATGGTAGCCATTCCCTCTTTTGAAACAGCATAAAATAGCATGAAAACCAATATATGTTTTTAAATGTTCTACAGAATAGAAATAAATATGAAAAATAACATCACCAAGAAAAGAATAATAATAATCCCCAACTGATACACATCACTGACAGCATTGACTAGAAAGGAAAATGTAACTGTGAGGAGCAGGTGGTGCTGAGCCGGTAAGGACACAGAACTAAGCTTCAACTCCCCTTCATCTGAGGGTGGCGTGAGGTGAGGGAACAAAAAGAAGAAGCTGCCTCTCAGAGTATTCATAAGACACGTTAATTTTCAATCTTTTAAAAATCTAATTAAAAGACCCTGCATTATCAGAGCCCTATTTTTGGTCAGCTTTTTCCAGGCTGGCAAATATTTTATCCAGGCAGATAGGGAAGAAACAAAGCAAAGGAACATTGTTTTTCAAGGCCCCTTTTCAATGGTGTTACTCCAGAGGAAAATTATAAAATAAATTTAGATAGCACTTTAT